CTACACTAACCCATCTCTCTCTCTTTTCCTAACTCCACACGGGAGCTAGATTTCCTGCTATTCGGGTGTTGTCTCTCTCTCTCTCTCTAGCCCAACTTCTTCTCGTTTTCCTCTGTCGTGCTTACTTTCTTTCTCTCTGTCCCTGCCCCTCTCTCTCTACAGCTCAGATGAAGGGAAACACTGCACCTCAAACTCAAAGATAAAAAAAAAACTTGGAAGACAAAGGTCAAGATTTTGGGTGTGCTGGAAATATCACGCTCAAGAGATTCAAGTCCGTGGAACTCTTTCTTTTAGATTGATTCTTTATAAACTGGGTATGTGCAGGATTTATAGTTCTGTTGACTGTCAGCTAATGGCAATTAGGGTATAGGAATGTTAAGGGCGATCAGGGTATATGAATGTTATCTGAGCAACATTTTATGGAGTAGTCAATGAATTTAATGTTTTTTATTGGTCCCTGTAACTCTAGAGACTTTCCTTTATGGAGCAGTGGCTATTGCTGTATATTTTAGTTTTTAACAAAATTGGGCCCAAATTTTAGAAGCCAGAATTTTGTTTTATTTGTTTCGCACCATGTAATGTTGATAGATTGTTGTTGAGCTTGATTTAAATGGTGGAAATTAGTAACTTAACTGATAAAGTTCTCTCTCTCTAACCTCTTTGTAAGTTTGTTGTTTCTTTCTATTTCTTTTTTTAAATTAATTTGGATGCTTCTCTTTCTCTCTCTCTCTCTCTCTCTCTCTCAGAAAATTACATGCTTTGTTAAAAATTTGGGTACAGGTTAGCACGCATTGCCTCTTTTCTCTCTCTCTCTCTCTTTACAAATTGAGGTTTCTCAAACGCCTTTTTCTCCTCCATCTCTATACTTTTCATCTCTATGTTCATAATCCACCCTCAACCCATATTCTTTTTTCTCATTCCTCTCATCCCTTTTTTTATTTATTAAAGTTTGCAATATTGGCTCACATTTCCATAGCTCTCCCAACATCCCAAGTTGGGTTCTAGATGGCTTTGTAGACTACAAACTTACTTTGTAGGCTACAAACTTCTGCAGCTAAGTAAATATAATCAAGTTTTCTTCTTTCAATGCGGAATGACAATATCTTCCTCTTCCATCCTAAAGAACATAGAGACTTTGAAGCTTGAATTGCGCATACAAATTTCTATTTTTGTGTTGTTCATCAGATAAATTTGAATGCCTTGATCTTGCTAGCATTGTAGTATTCTCAGGAAATATCATGTGCAAATTATGTCTGAAGTAGCCTATTGTAATTTTCTTTTTATCTCTTAGTAATGATCACCATAAAGTACTTGAGAGTTTTGCTGGGATTTTTTTACAAATTGGATCTCAATGATCATTTTTTGTCCATTGATTTGTAAGCGTGGACCATGAATATATATGACCTTAACTTATAAACTTAATTTATTAGCATTTTAGGTTCTACTAAAATGAACCTCAAATGCATTGTTTCTTATTGGTTGAACGACCAAGAGACTGGATGTGGTGAGCTAGTATAGTGTGATGAGATTATTTATTAGCAAAGCTTGTGGTTAGGAGCTTTGTCTGAAAAAGGGTAAGCTTGTATGGTGCAATTAGATCATACAAAAATAAACAAAGCTTGTGGTTAGAAGGTTCATTTCAAAGAGGCCAGATGTATGTGTTATTGAAGACATGGTTCCAACTATTCCTAAAAAATGAGATACTCAAACAATGAATTGTTGTATGAGAAATATTTGTGAAACTTCTGCATGTGGCATTCATCCTCGCCCTTCATTATGCCTCTTTTTTCTCTCAAAATGTATGTATTTCATCACTTGTGCTCTCTTGGTAATTACTTTCTGCAACGTTGATGAACCGCTTGTGTTATGAATAACAAATGCAGATTTTGTCTTAGTGGTCCAAAGAAAACAGAAGTCTCATATAGCATTCAAATTATTATATATCCAAGCTCTATACAAGATTTGGGATTCATGTTCAATAAAGAAAGCATTAGGGAATGTTCGCAAAGCATGAAGTTGATTTTTTTCTTTATATGTGATTCCTTCTATACATTGGGCACGAAAAAACAGGGGGTTGGAATGTGGAAAATGAGATGCGGCCAAGCTTGGTCAGGCTTGGTTTTATGGGCATGCTGAATGCAGTCATTTTCTTGGCATGCTCGATGGAGTCATCAAGGTATCCAAGCAATGAGAGATGTCACTGTGACAAACACCCAGATTCAAGCTAAGCATCAAACCAATAATGAGAAAAAGAGAAGCACTTCTGCACAATGGCCTGATGGGCCACGCAAAAGGCATTCAGCAACTCTCTTTCGCAAATACACACACATATCAACAAGGATGCAAGAAAATCTTGGCACAGAGAAACAATAATACCAAATTCCCATCATTAAAAAGCATAAAATAACATAATACAATATAAGATCTCCCTTCCAATCTTCTCGGATTGATACATAACGTTGTCTTGCTCAGCAATAGAATTCATGGTAACACATCCTTCTTGGACCTCTTGTTCCAAGGGCAATGAGATAAAAAGCTATAGTGGTAATGTTGTAGAACCCACAAAATAATGATTTCAAGCAACAGATGATACATTTCCATCAGGTACTTGAAGAACCCACAAAATAATGATTTTAAGCAACCGATGATACGTTTCCAATCAATAACCAAGGCTGCAAAACAAATACACGATCCTTACGTTAAAAAAGATAATGATTTACATACAGCCCCTAAAAAACTTACGAAAATAATAAAAATTTACCAAGATTAGTCAATGCACGGTTTGTATTTTTTTTTTTCAAAATTGCCTCCCAGTCCGAGTATGACATCATTGGACCAAATTTTAATTTTTTTTTTTTAGCATCTTGTTTCTTTTTTTTTTTTTAGAGGCCCTATGTAAATTCCTCGTGAGAAAATAAAGCCAATTCCGATGGAGAGATGGAAACTTGATGTCCAAATCAAATTCAGAATCCTCATCATGCAGATTGCAAAATGCATTCCTTTTCTATAAAAACAGGATATGCAAAACAAATGTCTTCTTTGGATGTTGAAAATTGGGCTGGTAAAAGTCTCATTTCATGAACCAGATGCAAAGCTCTAACTCTTTTTGATGATCTTGATAACAAACATGTACCGATTTCAAAATGAGTTGAAAGTCAGATGAATTTTTTTTCTCACAAATAACAATGGAAATAAAAGAAACCAAAAGAAAAAGGCTCTTTAGCCAGAAATTTACATAACTAGAAATTTGAGCTCTGTAACCAGAAATTTACCCAAAAAAAAAATCTTAAAACAAAGATTTATGCAACCAGAAGTAACCTTTCCAAAACATTCAAAATCTAAAAACTTTACATAAGCAGAAGTAACCTCTGTAAACCTTCATAATCTAAAAATGTTGCCAATATCCAGTAATCTATCAAAAATTTGGCTTCTAAAATTTGGGCTCAATTTTGATAAAAACTAAAATCTACACCAGTAGCGACTACTCCATAAAGGAAAATATCCAGAGTTACTTAAAACAACAATAACAAAAACATCAAACCACATTCATTGACTACTCCATAAATCTTGGTTAGATAACATTCCTATACCCTAATTGCCATTAGGCGAAAGTCAAGAGACCTATAAATCTTGCACATACCCAGTTTATAAAGAATCAATCTAAAAGAAAGAGTTCCACGGACTCGAATCTCTTGATCATGATATTTCCAGCTCACCCAAAATCTTGACCTTGATCTTCCTAAGTTTTTTTCACTCTTTGAGTTTGAGGTGTAGCGTTTCCTTTCATCGGTATAGAGAGTGGGGCAGGGGGAGGGGCAGAGAGAAAGAAAGTGAATACGACGGAGGAAAAGAAGTTGGGCTAGAGAGAGAGACAACACCCGAATAGTGGGTAAATTTAGCTCCCTGTGGAGTGAGGAAAAGGATGGGCTATTGTAGAGAGAAAGGAGGGAGATTGGAGGGTGAGAAAAACAGATATGGGGGGGGAGCGGGAAAGGTCGGTAGTAGGATGGAAGAAGGAACAAGAGAGAGAGAAAGAGGGGTGGAGCAGTGGAGAGAGAGAGACGACGGTTCTCAAATTTCAAAAATCTTTCTTTTTTTTTAATCTGAGTAGATAGGTTAAAAATACTCTTGCAGTTGAGTTTAGCATTTAAAGGAACAAGGGCAATAAAGGTAGACGACCATTACAAGGCATTCTAACTTCAATTTTGGTTATTTGGGGGTTGTTAACTCTACAAAATTTCATATATATATATATATAAATACTACGCAACGTTTATAGGAAAAAATAAACAGTAATTTTACTTACTTCCATCATCGTCCAAAGTTTATCGCGCAGTCACAATTGTCCGGTCGTATGTTATTTAATTTTTTTTTTTTACAAATCAGAATGACTTAAAAATAATTTTGTAAAAAAATTGATCAAAATACCCCCTAAAACTTTTCGAAGGTATTTTGGTCAATTTTATTTTACAAATAATTTTTTTTATATATTTTTATTAGATGCGTTTCAGTAAGATACATACCTTCCAAATTTCAAGTCATTTTGATTTATAAATAAATAAATAAATAATAAAATACTACTAGACAATCGTGATCGTGTGATGAAACTTGAACGGTAATGAGAGTAGACAAAATCACTATTCATTTTCGCCTAGGCGTTAGGAAGACTTTTATATATACATATATATATATATATATATAGAGTTAACAACCCCTCAAATTACAAAGGTAGGTAACTTATCCTTTGGGTAAAAGTAAATTTGAAATTTTTACAAAAGTACAATAGCATTTTGAAAGTTAGTATTATGGAATTTTATTGGTAGAGTGCATTTGTCTTTTAGTAAAAATTTCAACTTTAGCTTTTATAGAGAAGATAAAAATACCCTTTGTCTTGTAGTAATATTTACAAAATTATTTTTATTTAATAATGAAGATATCACAAAAAGTAATTTATTTTAAAAAAATAGACTACAATATCAGTAAATACACTATTCACAATTCTCTCTAACTTTAAATTACCATTGTCTTTTAGTACAAATTTCAACTTTAGCCTTTATGAAAAAACCAAAAGTACCATTTGTCTTGTAGTAATATTTATAAAATTACCCTTACTTAATGATGAAGATATCACAAAAAGTAACTTATTTTAGAAAAGAGTGTACGTAGGGCCCAAAGGATCACCATTAAATTTGACACATATATCTAAAAAAATTATCACATGGGTGTGAGACTTGACTTTTCTAGAGATCTGTGTCAAATTTAATAGTGATCATTTGGGGTCGTACACACATGGGTGTGGGAGGGTCTCATATGATCATTACTCTTTAAAAAATAGGCTACAAAATTAGTAAATACATCATTCACAACTCTCTCTAACTTTAACCTTTGTAATTTGAAGGGTTGTGAAGTTTAGAATCACTTGTGAACTACTTTTTTATTTCCATTGCACACAAAATTATGAGTTCAAGTTAGAATCACTTGTGAACTACTTTTTTACTTCCATTGCCCACATATTATTAAAACTCAAAGCCTCTCTACAAGGGCATTTTAGATATTTGCTTCAAAAATTGAATAACGACACTGATAAAGAGGGAATTTCAATTTTCAGGGTTTTCCCTCCCATCATCTCTCTGTCCCTCTCTCTCAACATCTGGCCCTCCCCCTCCCTCTCTCTCTTCACTTCCCTGCCTCATAGCTTTAACCCTTTTTCCAAACCCTTAAAAAGAACAAGCCCAATTTTTTTGTCCCTCTTGGATCTAAAAGACTGGTTTTTCAAGACAATCGTAATTCTACAAAATGACTTCTATTTAGAGGGTCAAAGAGAGAAGAGGCAATGGTGGAAAAGTAATGATATATATTACTATATAATATTTTAAAATAAAGGGGTCAGGTCCACTTGGACTCAGATCTAACCCGATTTACTATTGGAGTCCAAGATTTGGAACCGGTCCCATCCTTACATATTTGGTTTTCTTTCTTCCTTTTTCTTTTTCTTTATTTGGGTTGGGGGGACGGGGGGGGGGAGGGGGTAATAAAATGAATATCTTTAACTCAATTTATTTATTTTATTATTGTATTAACTTAGGAGTTTTAATTTTTAAAAGAAGCTATATGGAATAAGTTTAAGAGAAGAGGTTGTTAGGAGAGAGAGAGAGAGAGAGAGAGAGAGAGAGAGTGTGTGTGTGTGTGTGTTGTTA